CCCCCCCCAAAAAAAATTTATAAATAAAATAAAAAACTACATTGACAGAATTGCATTGCTTAATAGTCCGGCATTAGAGCAAATAACATTCATGACTCCAACTTGAGATGCATAAAGCAGAGCCAAACACATAAAGCCAAATATTGAAACACTTCAAGGCTTCATTATATTGCACATAAATTGCTTGTCCCTCTTATACCTTCACTCAGTATTTTCTTTATTTTTGAAGTCTGAGTCTGGTATGCCGTATTCTCCTGAGACCCAGCAATTAATTTACGATCTGTGTCCAATAAAGTGGGCATTTTTTAAAAATAGATATAGACCAAACATAACACTGCCTTTATCAACTGTACATATACTGTATGTATATACTATAAAATATATATAATATAATATATTTTTATTTACGTATTGTTATGCATGTTTTTGGGTCTGTCCAATATTACGATATTAATATATAAATAATATTATTTAAATAGCATTTATACAATTTGGCAATATATTCATACAGATATTATTACTAATTGTTATATAAAAATGTTATGATTAATATATATATATATGATTAATAATATACATAGTGTTAATAAATGTTATTGATATATTCATTAATAATACTATTTTTGATTTAAATATGTTTATAAATCATACAATTAATATGATTAATTCTTAATATTTTTTATGAATATATTAATAACAATAATTAAAAAAACAATTTTCATTTTTGAATGAACTATTCGTTTCACACAATACAATCATGAGTTTACAGTCAATACTCCCTTCTCGTTTAGAAGTCTGACATTGGGAATATGACGGTGGTGAGAGGAAAATGAAGAACATTATGAAGGTAAACAGCATAACTGCTCACATTTATTCATTAATTTCCCGAGCAACTCAATATGTTCCCAGGTGAGTTAACTGTTAATTTGTGTTCCATAAATGAAAAGCATTGCATTGCTCAAGTTCACTCCAGAGAACTTGAACTCAATGAATTGAGGAGAGTACAAAGTGTATTATGCATTTTTCATTGACGTCTGAACTTCTGAATCTGAACTTCATTCCTGGATCTTGTTGCAAAAGCTATTCTTGCAGTGGCTTGATTGCATGACCCTGCATTTAACGATTGAGTTCTGATGAAAGCAATTAATTTATAAACTCATATAATCACAATCTCCAATCTCCCCCCCCAAAAAAAATTTATAAATAAAATAAAAAACTACATTGACAGAATTGCATTGCTTAATAGTCCGGCATTAGAGCAAATAACATTCATGACTCCAACTTGAGATGCATAAAGCAGAGCCAAACACATAAAGCCAAATATTGAAACACTTCAAGGCTTCATTATATTGCACATAAATTGCTTGTCCCTCTTATACCTTCACTCAGTATTTTCTTTATTTTTGAAGTCTGAGTCTGGTATGCCGTATTCTCCTGAGACCCAGCAATTAATTTACGATCTGTGTCCAATAAAGTGGGCATTTTTTAAAAATAGATATAGACCAAACATAACACTGCCTTTATCAACTGTACATATACTGTATGTATATACTATAAAATATATATAATATAATATATTTTTATTTACGTATTGTTATGCATGTTTTTGGGTCTGTCCAATATTACGATATTAATATATAAATAATATTATTTAAATAGTATTTATACAATTTGGCAATATATTCATACATATATTATTCATAATTGTTATATAAAAATGTTATGATTAATATATACTGTATATATATATATATATATATATATATATAATGTTTTTGGGTCTGTCCAATATTACGATATTAATATATAAATAATATTATTTAAATAGCATTTATACAATTTGGCAATATATTCATACAGATATTATTACTAATTGTTATATAAAAATGTTATGATTAATATATATATATATGATTAATAATATACATAGTGTTAATAAATGTTATTGATATATTCATTAATAATACTATTTTTGATTTAAATATGTTTATAAATCATACAATTAATATGATTAATTCTTAATATTTTTTATGAATATATTAATAACAATAATTAACAAACACACACACACACATATTGTTATGTCCCGTGATGTAATTTCTATTGTGCATGTTGTGCTGGTGATATGTTTTATGTAATTATAATTAGTGGGAGCATGGTTCCTCTGAGCGTGTGTAGCACATGAAAGTGTGACATCAGTAACGAACAGCCAATCACATACCAGTGGGGGAGTGGCTTTATTGCGTCAGAGATGTAAGCAATTAATTTATAAACTCATATAATCACAATCTCCAATCTCCCCCCCCAAAAAAAATTTATAAATAAAATAAAAAACTACATTGACAGAATTGCATTGCTTAATAGTCCGGCATTAGAGCAAATAACATTCATGACTCCAACTTGAGATGCATAAAGCAGAGCCAAACACATAAAGCCAAATATTGAAACACTTCAAGGCTTCATTATATTGCACATAAATTGCTTGTCCCTCTTATACCTTCACTCAGTATTTTCTTTATTTTTGAAGTCTGAGTCTGGTATGCCGTATTCTCCTGAGACCCAGCAATTAATTTACGATCTGTGTCCAATAAAGTGGGCATTTTTTAAAAATAGATATAGACCAAACATAACACTGCCTTTATCAACTGTACATATACTGTATGTATATACTATAAAATATATATAATATAATATATTTTTATTTACGTATTGTTATGCATGTTTTTGGGTCTGTCCAATATTATGATATTAATATATAAATAATATTATTTAAATAGTATTTATACAATTTGGCAATATATTCATACATATATTATTCATAATTGTTATATAAAAATGTTATGATTAATATATATATATATGATTAATAATATACATAGTGTTAATAAATGTTATTGATATATTCATTAATAATACTATTTTTGATTTAAATATGTATATAACTCATACAATTAATATAATTAATTATTAATATTTTTTATGAATATATTAATAACAATAATTAACACACACACACACACACACACACATGCACACACACATATTGTTATGTCCCGTGATGTAATTTCTATTGTGCATGTTGTGCTGGTGATATGTTTTATGTAATTATAATTAGTGGGAGCATGGTTCCTCTGAGCGTGTGTAGCACATGAAAGTGTGACATCAGTAACGAACAGCCAATCACATGCCTTGTCTTCTCGCGACAAGTGAAGAATTATGAAGAATTAAACACATTTACACAGAAAGATGAAACTATCTATCTGTGAAAGATGACAACTTAAAGAAAACATCTTGCCATATCAGTGCAAATAAAATTCAGTTTATAGTTGATAATATTTATAGGTATAAAAACACTTAAAAATCTAAGCTCATATGTACTCATGTTTAAAGCTATTGATTCTAAAACCTATTTATATTGTACTTATATGCATTTAAAATAAAAACCTAATAATTATTATTAAACTAAACTGGCTTGTTTAATGGATTGAGGGTATAATAATTATATAAATCATATTAAATAATTATAATAAATAATCATCTCTGAAAGCCAGACGATTTTATCTTTAAAATGTTTTACTATGTAGTGTCCTTTAATTTGGAGCAAGAGAAACTGGGGGAGGGGCTTTAGTGTGTCAGAGTGTCACTTTGCTCAAAGCTGATTGGTCACATTTCGGTTTGTGCTCTCTAAACCAGAACATAACCTGCCTTCATGGTACCTAAAACCCAGAGTTGGCGCACACTAAACTGAAACTTACCTGGCAAGCCAGCTTCATGGTACAGGCTCCTGATTATTTAAGTCCGGTATCTATTTACCGATCTTTGTTTATTTACTTTATTTTGATTAGCTTTGCTATGCTTTAAATAAAATCACTTGATAAGCATATTCCTGGTATTCGGCTTCTGTTTATTTGATGGTGTTGTTAATCAAGAGTGTGGACACCATACGTGTGAGGTTTACTATAGAGCTGGGACAGAAGAGAAGTAGTTTCTCCACGTTTATTTATTTGTTGCAATTTTTCTTTGGCTAATTTTGTTAGCCACATCTTTGTCTTTTTCCTTTTTTTCCATCCTCAAACCCCTAGACTGAAGAGAAAAAAATTACCAACGTGGCTATAAAGAGTTAGCCAAAGCAAAAATAGCAACAAATGAATAAACGTGGAGAAATCTCCTATATATAGGAGATTTCCACACACACACACACACACACTTATGTATATACTGTATGTGTGTGTGTGTGTGTGTAATTATACAAATACAAAATATTAAACATTTTTATTGAATTTGTGTTATTCATGAAAAAATAAGTGTATAATTTAGCAATATATTAATGTAAATTTAGTTAATGTTATTAATAAATAAATTATATTAATATTATCACGAATAATGTTAGCATGTATGTAACATATTTGTATTAGTGGTAGTAATAATAATAATAACAATAATAATTATATATATATAAAAAAAATCTTAATTAGCAAACTGTTAATAACTTTCTGTTTTCTGGGTCTCAGGTGTATATTTTAAAAACTCATCTGACGTTACGCAGCACATCGGGTGTCAGTGAGTTCATAGAGGCGGGCGTCATTAAGGGTGTGCGCGCGCTCATGGAAGTGTATTTTGGTCTCGAGAGAGAGAGAGAGGAACATTCACAGATGTGCGAAGAGGTTTTGCTTTAGTTTACGTGCTTAGTTTTATGGCGACAAACTAATATGGACAAAAAGTGTCGGTTGCGCAGGCATTGCGGGTAGTTATCTCAGTGCGCACTGAGCGGCTTTTTACGCGGAGTCGCCAGGAACCTACGGGGAACCTGCTGCTCTCCAAAACTAGCCTGACCGATCCTCCGGAGTTGAAAACTATCAAAATCACAAGGAAATAAGTCTAACAATAAAAAAATGACTATAGACATAAGGTTGGTGCATCCACCTACGCGCGTTTGGTGATTTGTAAATCAGCAGCTGGTGTCCGGACGGATGTTTGGCGTAAACGAGCACAAACACGGTGCAGAAGCGAAGTGACGGGACCCGGAGAGCCGTTTGGATTTGGGCTGCGCTGGAGATCGTTCATCATGGTGTCCGTGAAGCGCTTTAATGAGGCGTTTGTCGACTGCGTGGCTTTTTTGTTCTGCCTGGCCGTCATGTGGGAGCTCGTTTTGGCTCAGAATGACACGGAACCCATCGTCCTGGAGGGCAAATGTCTGGTGGTTTGTGACTCGAACCCCGCCGACTGGAAGAGCTCTTCCTCGCCGCTCGGCATCTCCGTGCGCGCCGCCAACTCCAAGGTGGCTTTCTCCGCGGTGAGGAGCAACAACCTCGAGCCCTCGGAGATGAGCAATAAAACGAGAATCATATATTTTGACCAGGTAAGGATGCTTTTTATGCTCGTATGCATGTTATATGGAAACGAATCGTATTTTAATAGACTTTGACTTTTGAGACCGTCTAACTTTGTGAAGCTCGTGGTTTAGACTAAGAGTTTTGGGTTACACGTAATACATTTTTATTCTGTATTTATCAGGATATGTTTATTTTTTAAAGTCAATTTATGTATACCTGCATACATTACAGTTTTAACAACATAATTGGGGGGGAAAATGACCTTTTGACAATAGCGAGGTATGTTGTCACACTATATGGGGTAAGTTGTCACAATGTCATTCAACAGCCTATTATAGGCTTATCAGCAAAGTACAAGTCACTTGTAAATAAATAAATAAAAGCTAAAATATAAAAAGAACCCTATATCAAATCATTAATTTAACCAACAAATATTGTATGTAAAAATCAACACTTACCCTGTATTTAAAGCTTATTTTTACTTTCACATAACAGAAATTTAGGATTTTTAAGTGAAACGAATTTTATAGAGTATTCAAAGTAGAATTGTATTTAACAGGATATGTTTATTTTTTAAAGTCAATTTATGTATACCTGCATACATTACAGTTTTAACAACATAATTGGGGGGAAAAAATGACCTTTTGACAATAGCGAGGTATGTTGTCACACTATATGGGGTAAGTTGTCACAATGTCATTCAACAGCCTATTATAGGCTTATCAGCAAAGTACAAGTCACTTGTAAATAAATAAATAAAAGCTAAAATATAAAAAGAACCCTATATCAAATCATTAATTTAACCAACAAATATTGTATGTAAAAATCAACACTTACCCTGTATTTAAAGCTTATTTTTACTTTCACATAACAGAAATTTAGGATTTTTAAGTGAAACGAATTTTATAGAGTATTCAAAGTAGAACAGGCATAAAGCATTACATAATTCAATTCATTTGTCATCATTATGGCAGGTCATAATGAATTAGCATTAGTTAATACGGTTCTAAATTAGATTACTGTGATAACTGCATTAGGTCTAGACTCTAGAGGTCAATCATTATTTTGACTTTAATATGGACATTAACCCGAGTTCACAGAATAATGTGAAAACACAAAAATCAGCTGGGATGAATTCAAAATAAATAATTTGCATGAGAGTTCAGATGTATACATTCAGGATTGTATGAACATATCTGTGCATGAAAATACACGGGCATGAAATACCAGTGTTATAGGTCATTAGTGATGAGTCGAAACTGTCAGGACTGTAAAGGGCAGGGATTTGTTCGTATTGTATTGCTTATTTTTAGCTGTTTGTGGTGAAAGTGGTGCATACTACACTCATGCATTCACACGTCATGCTTGACTTCAGCCTTTAGCTTTATGACTGAACAAATTGGAAACATTGATACATTTGCTGAATTCATGGCATACTGCATTTCAGATCTCTCCCATTCCATTCAATATGAACTTTAATACGCTTATAAAAGCATTAAAAAAAAAAGTGTGCGTTTTTTATTCCCTGCATGTTTTGATGCACCTTATTTCATTCAGTTCGCTTTCTTGGTCAAAGACGTGGTAGAATTAATAAAGGAACGTCATTATGCAGGGTCAGATCCAACACAGAGCCTGCATGATGTGCATCCCTGAAGAAAACTAAACTAACTATTTTATTACCAATATCCTTGAAATTAATGAACAATTATGCTGGAGATGAGGCCAACGTGTTTTTGTGTTTCATGATTTAATGATTTAATTATTTCCCAAAAGGAAAAGATGGGATGTTTGGAGACACGTGTCTTCCTTACAACTTTTTCTCATTGTTTGCTCACCCTCCTGTTGTTTCAAACCTGTCTGACACAGAAGAAAATGTTTAGACTGTGCAATTACAATGAAAGGGGACTGAAGATATAAATCCTGCAAAAGGATATAGCACCATAAAAGTGGTCTGAAATAATTTGTACATTTATGTTCCAAGGTTTTTATGAGTCACATGATTTATTTTTGTGTGGAACAGATTGAAATTTACTTCAGTATTCACTGAAAGTATGAAAAGTTCCTTATTCACGCTGTTCATCTGTGAACAGATCATTCTTTTGAATCAGATCTTTTCACTGGTTCTCTGGATGAACTGATTCAATCTAAATGATTCATTCATGGATCAGACTGATTGATCTGACTGAACCGATTCTCATATTCAACTCACGGACTCAGTGATCCGTTCACTTTAGTATATATTATAAATAGTATCAGTAAACAAGACTTGAATTCTGATCTGTTCCTCACACAAAGGTATTATATGCCTTCAAAATATTCACAATATAGTGCATGACTACATTTATTATACTTTCATAGTGCTTTTGCATCCTTTTTGAGGATTGAAAACTCCCCATTTATTGTGTTGGAAAAAGAAAGATACCACACTGGGGGAAAACAATTGTTTAAAGTTATAAATATGATTGTTGGAGTACTTTTTACAAGAAAATACTATCTCAGTTACTACTTCAAAATTTCAGGTTTCATTCAATGTGTTAAAGGTCCCATGACATGCTGCTTTTTGGATGCTTTTATATAGGCCTAAGTGGTCCCTAGTACTGTATCTGAAGTCTCTTTCCCGAAATTCAGCCTTGGTGCAGAATTTCAGCCACTACGAGCCAGTCCCACAATGAGCTTTCCTTAGGATGTGCCATTTCTGTGTCATTTTCAGCTCATTTTCTCATGGGCGGGCCAAATTCTCTGTGCAGGCAAAGTAGAGAAAGGGGAGGTAACCTTTCCCCGTATGACGACATGAAAGGAAGATTCCAGATTGGGCCATCTGAGCTTTCATTTTCTCAAAGGCAAAGCAGGATACCCAGGGCTTGGTTTACACCTATCGCCATTTCTAGCTACTGGGGGACCATAGGCAGTCTAGGGGAACTCATATTAATGTTAAAAAACCTCATAAAGTGAAATATTCATGCCATGGGACCTTTAAGCCTGGTTCAGACTACACATTGTTTTTTTATGTTTTTTTTGTCAGTTGTCAGATTATGCGATTCATGTTGCTACCCGAGCATTCATCGCTTGCCGTCTTTAATGATGTGCGTGCTGTCATGTGCCATGAGCGTAAACACACAATGGCTAGCAAACAGTGTGTTTTGTCATCAGAAAAGCCCAAAAAAGAAAGAAATCCTGACAGTGGACACAAATCTGGATTACATCAAGAGGCCAGTATGGACTGTCAATAAAACAAAAATAGTTTTTATTTGACAGTTTTTCACTCTGGAAGTCCCTTGAGGAAACCTCATAAATGCAGGAGTATTATAGCCAAAGCTCCATGAACATTTCTTCCACTGTAAAATTCCACCTAGCAGGACCGATTCCATTGTCTCTCTTTCGTTTCGGCTTGTACGAAGGCGCTTCTGTGCTCCCATTGGCCAGTGTCACAGATGTGATGGAACCCGTCGTGGATGACGGAAAAAAAAAAGAAACATTCTAGTCTTTCTGTGGTGACGTCGTGAAGCGTCACAGACGTGGCATCTGCTGTCGTCCACTATGACACACTACATGAGATGAAACGATTGAATCTTGCGTCCCTTTTTACAAGAATAAAACTGTGTGAAAATCAAAGCCATAAATCAAAACAAGTTGCGTTCCAAATTTGAGGTTGATATCGCAAAAAATGTACTTTTTAGTAAGATTTTGGGTGCAGTACCAAATAGTTCCACTAGATGAAATTCACTTCCCATTAATTTCCAGTGGGGTCAGATTGACTGTGAACAGTTACAAATGTGACACTTTTTTCAGGAACATTTAACCTTTTCGAATCATATTCATGATTGTTTTCACATAGCAAGTGCCAAAACCTTTTGCCAAGTTTTGTACTATTCCGATGAAGTAAAAAATTATATAATCAAAATGTCAAAATCGACAGAACAGCACCAGAGGGTTAAGGATGTTTAGATATTTATAATGGAAAACAAGACAAAATCGATTTTTTATTTATCTATCTATTTTTTTTTTTTGCAGTATACAAACAGGGCACATGAATAATGTCACATATGACTTAATCATTTTACACTAGAACTTTCTTTTGTTTGAACGGTTTCAAAATCTGAAACTTTCTTTTTAGTTTCAGGTTTGAAAAAAAAAAATTCTCTCAAAGATTTTCAAAGTGCTCTCAGATTTTTAGACCTCAGTGTTGTAGCCTATATGCTTGTGACCGTTCATGAAGAGCTGAACAAGTATGAATTCTCCCTTTTGGTGGAGTTCTTCTTCAGCTTTAATAAAACAAAGATCAAAAGAGAGTGCAATGTACAAATTTACCTTTGTGCGCTCAGAGGTTCCATGTACGAACTCCGTCTACTCATCTTTGTGTCCACTAGGTGAAAATTAATACCCTACACTCTCTTTTTGATGTCTACTTCAATCGTTTTTTCGAAACATAACCTGAAATTTCATCAGTTTTGAGAACACTGTGTTTTAAACCTGTTGCTGGACGTTTGGCTCGGAGTTTAGCTGTCCTACGTTTTTGCCAGAGTAGTAATTGGACCTTTTTGTTTTTTGGCTAAATCCAGGAAGATGACATAGGCGGAGTGTAAGATGTTTTATTATAATTTGACCATGTAAAATAATACAAGAAAATGCATTGTTTTCATTATAATTTTGTAGGTGGCACGATGCCGTTATTTAAATCATTCCCAAACCCTAAGTATTAAAATTCAGCACTAACTCCCACACTGTTTGTGCATGAATGATATATCATATTGTGAAGTTTTTTTGAATTACACTACAGTTCCCGTTTCTGTCTCTTGCACAAGTGAAAATCCACCTATGATTGGCATTTGTGAAAGTGACCTGTAGCCAAGTATGGTGTCTCATACTTGGAATTTGTGCATGCATTTATCCCATCCAAGTGCACGCACGCACACGCACACACACACGCGCACACACACACACACACATACACACACACACACACGGAGCAGTGGGCAGCCAGTTGGGTGTTCAGGGTGGAAGAGAGCACTGGTTATTCACTCCCCCCACCTACAATCCCTGCTGGACCTGAGACTCGAACCCGCGACCTTTGGGATATAAGTCCAACTCATTAGGCTACCACTGCCCCACATTTGCTATAGTTCATGGTGCCACATCACAAGATTAAAGTTGAACAATGGTCAGCATGACCGTGGAAATGAGAAATCAGCATGACGGTAGGAAATCCTGAGTGTTGTTTCACTGCTGAGGAGAATTAATATTGAAAAGTCCACTTGTAAGCATGAGTGCATTTGTATTTCATTCCTGCTGCCTTTTGTAATCTCACACTGATGTTTTTTTCAAGGCCTTTCTTTGAGATTTTTGCATCACACGCATACATATTTCACAGAACAAATAACTGTACCGTCTGGATAGGATGTTTCATTGTAACTGTGTGTTGAATCAGGACTGATACCTCTGAAATACACTTTTGCAGGTTCTTGTCAACATAGGAAACTATTTCACACTGGAATCCGTCTTTCTTTGTCCCCGGAAAGGAATCTACAACTTTAACTTCCACGTTATTAAAGTGTACCAGAGCCAGACTATCCAAGTAAGCACTGCATATATCTCTCACACAAAGAAAATATTTAATCAGCTTAATTTTAAGACCATGTTTGAGTTCCATAATGAACAGATTTAGAGAAATATGAAACTGGGTAACATTTGAAGCCTTTATAAATATTGCATTTTAAATGTGTTCTCAATTCATTACAGTACACTATCTTACAATACGCTTTATAGTCAGTATATTCTCATTAATTATTGCAATATATTATATTATTATAATCAAATTAATTATTTGTCATGCAGGAACTTCTAATACTACTGTTTTCAGTGCTTTTTCATTTAAGGAAACTCATACTTTAATTGATAAAAACCATTTCAATAACACTTTTTCCATTAACGTATACATATATTTTCTTGATTAATAAATTAGAATTTAAATATATTTAGCAAGATGCATATTTTTGAAAGTGATTAAAAAGCAATTATTTCCTCATAATTTATCAAATTGTACTTTAAAAACTGTAATTTAGAATTTTGCAATAAATTATATGGTAATTCCTGCTTTTTACTTATTAAAAAAAATCATTTAAAAAATCAATTTAGCCTAAAAACATAATTTTACCAACATTTCACTGTAAATATTCAAGAATATATTATTGTCTTATTCAGTATATTTTTAATATGAATAATATTATTAATACATTTTCTAGTTATCATAGATAGACTTATTCAGATACATAGAATATAGATTTTCATTGTAAATGTAAGGTAATACATCCATTATGACGTATATTGTAATCCACTATATATTTTCATAAATAACTGTAATCATAGTTATAATATTGCTGTTCATTTTTCTGTAAATTAGGTTTAACAAGATAATACATGTAATGTTACTGTAAAGCACTGTAAAAATATAAATGTTGTTTATTAAAATTGTTAACATTTTACAGTGATATTAGAATTATTATGACTATTATTTATGAAAATATATAGCGGATTACAATATAAGTTATTATAAATTATATGCAGGCTTCAAGTCAAGTTTTATGAAAAACTGTACCAAATAATAAAGATGCAAGAATTGTTTTTTCATTTCATAAATGTGCCCATGATATGAAATCATAGAATACGTTCTGTCACACTTGTAGACTTGAGATCTCTGATTTGATTTTCTCTCTGTTTTCCAGGTGAATTTAATGCTGAATGGAAAGCCAGTCATCTCTGCCTTCGCCGGTGACAAAGACGTCACACGTGAGGCCGCCACCAACGGAGTCCTGCTGCACCTCAACAAAGAAGACAAGGTTTATCTGAAACTGGAGAAGGGCAATCTGGTAGGCGGATGGCAGTACTCCACCTTTTCTGGCTTTCTTGTTTTCCCTCTGTAAAGCAAACAGAAAGACCTCCACCTTTGCTGTCTAATCGTCATTGTGTAACCGGCCTTTCAGCATTATTGGAGGATCTCAAATGGAATCCTAATTCCAGACATTCATTCAGCTATTGTCAATACGGACTACTGGAAAAAAGCGTCAGTGACGGTGAATCTGGAGAGAGGACGTCTATTTCAGTGCAATATCGCTTTCTGCTGCAAGTCGTTCTTCATAGCTCCAGGAGGTTCAGCACATCATGTCAGACTGTTTGTTCGTTTCGTTGTGGACGTTTGTATTGCTTTTCTTTAGCGTGTGGTTTTTAGTGAAATGAGGAATCCTGATTATCATCTGTTAATAAGGTAGTTCCCTCGCAGAAAAGAAAATGCATGAAACAGTCTGGCCACTTGAGGGCGCAATATTTCAAAAACGTTGGCAGGCGATATGTGCGCTGGTAAAGCACTGCACTGTGCACATTTAAATTACAAAAATAAAAAAATTTTTTAAGTTGCCATTGTTTTCAGAGCGAATATAACTTTCTATGTAAATTAGACTTGAAGGAATAGTTTTAATTTGAAGGAAAATTTTAATTTGCTGCAAATGTACTCAGCCTCAGGCCATCCAAGATGTAGTCTCGTGTAGCCAGACCTTCAGACTGACGGCTGAAGGTCTGGAATTGATGGGAGCTTTCATTGGCCAAGACCCGCCCATGAGGCCTTTTGACCGACATGTCAAATAACCAATCACAGTTCATTTCGCTCATCATCACGTTTTGGGGCATGGAAATGTCACCACAATAACAGACCGGTGTGTAAAACTCTCGGACGTATTTTAAAGATTCTATGCCGCAAACTTTAATTTTTTCACATACTTTTGAAAATCCAGCGTTTAGTTGATCCTGCACTCTAAAAAATGCTGGGTTAAATATAACCCAGCGCTGGGTTAAAAAGGCACAATCCCAGCTATTGGGTTGTTTCAAAACAACCCAACCGCTGGGTCAAAACAGCCCAATAGCTGGGTTTGTCCCTTTTTTTTAGAGTGTGATAAGCACTCATCGTCACAGTTGTAAACACAATGGCTTTCTTCTTTCGTGAGGGGGTTTGGTGGCACGGCATCTTTGTTTCCAGGCGGAACGTTAAAGAACGCAACACACACGTCTCCCGGAAATCCTGTATAATTCAACCAATCCGATGACGACTTCGAAACTCCTGAAGTGTTTCCACTTTTGTGTGCCATATGCATCAGACGTTTAGCCAACGGTCCGTGGGTGTGACGTCTGAGGCTGAGACTATCCAAGATGTAGATGAGTTTGTTTGTTCATCAGAACAGATTTGGAGAAATTTAGCATTCCATCACTTGCTCAGCAATGGATGCTCTGCAGTGAATGGGTGCCGTCAGAATGAGAGTCAAAACAGCTGATGAAAAAAATCACAATAATCCACATGACTCCAGTCCTTCAATTAACATCCTGTGAAGTGAAAAGCTGCGTGTTTGTAAGAAACAAATCCATCATTAAAGCGTTTTAACATCAAACCGTTCCTTCCGGCTAATATATGAGTCCATAATCCATAATAACGCTTTTTCCAGTGAAAATTATGCACAGGTCAAACACGGTTTACAAGTGAAAACAGTTTTAAACATATATGTCAGTGGATTTTGATGTGAGAGGACAACAGGACAAGGACTTTTTCACTGAAGGAAGTGTTACTATGGTTGACGGCCTCATATTTTGTTCAAAAGCTACCGTTTAAGGTTAAAATGCCTTAATGATGGATTTGTTTCTTACAAACACGCAGCTTTTCACTTCACAAGATGTTAACTGATGGACTGGAGTGGTGTGGATTATTGTGATGTTTTTATCAGCTGTTTGGACTCATTCTGACGGCACCCATTCACTGCAGAGGACCCATTGGTGAGCAAGTGATGGAATGCTACATTTCTCCAAATCTGTTCCCATAAAGAAACAAACTCATTTAGATCTAGGATGGCCCAAGGGTGAGAAAATTCAGCAAATTTTCATTTTTGGGTGAACTATTCCTTTCATGTTAAATGGCGAAACTATAGCCTGACACAATTAATGTTTTAAGTTAAAAGTGTTTCTGTTTGTTTCTATCCATCATGGTAGCAGTAATCCATAAAATTAAAGAAAGAACATTATAATGGTCATATTTCTCAACGTGCTCCATACTTTCTGCATTTTAAAGCATTGTAAGTATTGCCTCCGACGACCTGCAAGATGTAGATTTGCGCTGTGAAAATCCCACCGGACAGATTGTTTTTTTGGTTGTATTTGCATCGTTCCTTTAGTCAGTCGGGTTCTAAAACAACACAGCGTGTAAATAAACGTGGGTGCAATTCTTTCTTAATTTGCCTTGTAAAGAAAAGCGAGGTTATGTTATTGTTTACTTGTTAAAAATGGCAGGATCGTCTCAACACAAAAGAAATATAAAACGTAATTATTGATTTCAATCCTGCAATGTGAATGCAAAAGAATAAAAGCCTATTTCCACAGTTAAGAGGTGTTAAAGGGAATATTTTTGTGATCCGTTCAGTGACTTCACATGGAGTGTTAGAGCACAGTTTGCTTTAACAGAGTCTGTGACAGCATATGACAAAGCATCGGGGGGCTTCGGTGGGTGGAAAGGTAACGTTTAGCTCAGACAAGCTGCTGTAACACCCTTTAATTAACTCAATTGGAATGTAAACAACAAGCGTATCACTGCACCACTCATATGCTTCTAGAATTACTGGCTGTCACTCTTGAGTCACTTATACTGTGTGGTTGAAGCTACAGCAGAACTTTAGTTCACTAGAGGCTGGTTAGTTCAGAAATCATGATTTTATGACACAAAGTTTATCTGTGTCCGTTCAACCAAAAAAGAAAAAAAGTGTCATAATTTATTCATCCTTATTTTGGTCCAAACCAATATGCTGTCATTTTTAACTGCACTTGTTTCAACCCAACTTTGGGTCAAATATGGACTAACCCAACTGTTGGGTTAAATTTTTACATGACATTTTTAACCCAAAAGTTGGGTTAGTCCAAATTTGACCCAAAGTTGGGTTGAAATAACCCAGCATTTTTTAGAGTGTATGGTTCATAGTGACCTCATCTTTCAACCTCAAAAAGGACAGAAAAGTACATTAATTCACTCAAGTTTGTCCATATCACAAGTCATGCTAAATAGTCCAAACCGCTATACCTTGTGCAACCATTTTTAAATGTAAACATTTTTTATTTTAAATTTTAAAAAGTGGTTGTGTTCAGAATTAAATACTGACTTACTGTACACTATATACTGCATACAAGTGTTTTAATTTAGTTGTATTTATATTTACTAATATAGTATTTATTTTATATTTTTATTTGTCATTTTAATTTTAATTTAATTTGTAATAATTTTATTATGTGCTTTTATAATTTCTATATATATTAGTTTGAGTATTTTTAATTTAATCTTATATTTTATTTCAGCTTTATTTCAATTATTTGTAAGTTATAGTTGCATAAGTTGTAAGTTGTAAGTTGCATACTACCACTATTTTTATCTCAATAGTCCTCAATAAATATGTTCACTAGAAGTATGGTATATTTTTGTCACATGACTGCACTAAGTTCGCCACATGACATAATTTAGTGTCATGTGAGTGATTATTGTGCATTTTTATGTAAAACACCTATTTTTATATTATTTAAGATATTTTATATCTGTGAATGTTCTTGTGTTTATGTGCATCATGGACATGTTTAGATCACTTTTTTTTTTTTGGTTGAAAACAATGGATTTCATACGTTTGCATTGGTGGATTTGGTGTGACGACAACAAGACTTGCGAATATGTTTTGCATCGATACTGAAACTTTTCTTTCCCACATTCCTGAATGTCCAAACCGAACAAGAGACATTCAAGACTGAAACGGCTAAAAGCCTAAACAACAGCAGAAATCATGTAACTGAACCACATTAGATGACAAGAGGGACTTGGATAATGAAAACAAGAGCAACATCCGGTCTCTGCCATTGATTATAGTTTTACTGCATACTACCACTATTTTTATCTCAATAGTCCTCAATAAATATGTTCACTAGAAGTATGGTATATTTTTGTCACATGACTGCACTAAGTTCGCCACATGACATAATTTAGTGTCATGTGAGTGATTATTGTGCATTTTGAACTGGACTTTGTGATATATATATATATATATATATATAAAGCATACAGGTTTGGACTGACACGAGGATGAGTAAATTAGTGGGTGAACAATTCTTAAAGGTTTGGTTTAGATCTTGGTCTAAAGATTATAATTAGCTCAACCACAAGTTGGCACCTAATATTTCAGAGAATTAATGAGAACTCCATACAAGCTATTAATGCATAATGTGGCTCATTGTTTCAAAGGTGCAATCAAATTCAACATTTTCTATATTTCAGTTTATTAAAACTGATGTTTTAATGAGAGATTAACTTGACTGAGTCAATTTTCTTCAATGCACACACTTCAAAACCTTCAGCCGTGTTCATTAGATGCGCTTCATCAGCTTCCCTGAAAAGCCTTTCATATTGGCTCATAACACAGGTCTGCCACTTAGTAGCATCTAACAGACTCTTGCTTAATATATTTTTATTAAACAAGCTCAATATTTGATAGATTAAAACGTTCAGAAAGTAAATGTTCAATCAACCATGTGGCTATAAAAACCAGCCGCTGTGGCGGTTTGAGTCTCCAATCTACTTTAAGATTTAACACAATCTTTATGACTCAAACGGCAAATTGAATACTGTGAGCCGCATGTAAAAAACCTCTCATCCTCTCACTTTTCACTCTGTATGCCAAATGTTGCATCTGTCTTTGTAAATATAAAATTTTCATTCTCACTTTGACACTAGATTTGCTGATATGAATCGTCATATTTCACGAAGGACAGATTGGCCTGATATTGTCAATGATTTGAACCTGACATGTCACATGACTGATTGGTGTCATCTGTTCAAACTGTCTGCCGTACATGTTTTATGCTCTAATGAGTCATTAATCTTTTAGCAGGCTGGTTATAATGGACTTCAGAATTAAAGCTGATATTAAATAGAAATGCTTGGGAAAATCATACTGAACTTTTTGAACCCACATGGCAAGTACCTCAGAAACTTGTGACACTGCCTTGTTTTAATTTATGTTTTAATTTGGCATTGACCCACAGAAATATGCTTGGTTTGTAAGTGATTTTTGAATGAGTTGTGCTTCATATTGTACATCCCTATTAACAATGGAAAATTGACCTTTTTCTCCAAGAAATATTACTTCTTTGGGGTTATTAATTTAAACAAAACATTAATCCTAAACCCCAAGTCCTAGCAACTACATAGCAACACCCTGTCAACCACTCGCAACATCCTAGCATCAACTAGTCAACTTTTGCATGTGCGAACACTAGCATTTTCCTTAGAAAAGCACAA